ATTCATAACTTCGCGTTAAGGATGGAATGAATCACGTGTTTTACATTGTGGCTGCCAGTGTTAACCCGTCACACGCAAACTATATAAATAGACTATCCCGGGACTTGGATTCACCACGCCCGGCCGGCTTTGTCCCCCCAGTGGCGATGTTCACACACCACATTAGTTACTCGTTTGAGGCTGAGTTGACCTAGGGGAGGCCCAGGACCGGTTCAAATAATCGTCACCGGTGGTGGCCGTTTAGCGGGAATCGCCGGGTTCGTAGCGCAGCGCGCTAACCACTACACTACCGCTCCCCCCACACACACACAGACAGCACGCTAACCACTACACTACCGCTCCCCCCACACACGCGCACACGGGTCCATAGGTACACATACACGCGCTTGCTGCAGACACACAACTTTCAGGGTGCGTACGGCAGTAAACGACTGAAATAATAAAGCAATGCTGCGCGAAGAACGCCTTAGACCTGCAACACATTTGTACGTCACTTTACCCGCGGAGGGTTGGGGGGGAGTGACATCAGCAGGCACACTGTGTGATGCTTCCGCATACGGGTGACATGACAGAGATGTGACGTCACAGCTCACTTGCCGTGCAAAATATATGCATAATTGCGCCCCCCCCCCCAAAAAAAAATACAAAAGTTCATTTTTTAAAATAATTTTTGCATGGTGTACAGTCTGGAAAGTACCCACATAGAACATTTCAAGTCTGTTGCATGTCGGGAAGTACGCTAAACATTTTGAACAGACACACATATTCACAAATTTCCCTTTAATATATATAGACTAGCGGCACTAGCCTTTTGCCTGTCCGAGGACGGGTATATTGCAGTAAATCTGAAACGTGCAGCGAAAAGCAGACCGCGACGTGATATATTCACTGCATTAATTCGTGTGCAGTTTGTAAGGGCGCGGTGACACAGACCTATTTCATTTAAAGGTTATAATCCCTTGTTCATCACGACGTCCTTTTTACTTTGATGTCTCAACAACAGCGTTACGGAGATCACGTGACGTGAGGGTTCTGCCTTTGTAGTGAGGGTTGTGAGTTGACGCCGAGGAGGGGGGAGGAGGCGCCTCGCACCCCCCCCATGTGGAGTGACGTCACCCGCTAATTATTATTAATGGATGGGGGGTCCATGTGGAGGACGTCACCTGTTCATGATTATTAATGAGGTGGGCTGATCGGCGTGGAGTGACGTCACGCGCGGGACACACAAACATTCTTGGCTCATTATAGTAGTAAATACACGTCGATTTTGATACGTGCAATGCGTGTATTGTGAGTTTAAGAGTCGATATAAATTTACGTCAACGATTCGGTATGCTCCTTCGGAATATGCAGCACACCGTCCGCACATCCAGTCATCACGAATCCGCACTGACCAAATAAAATACCCACCTCCACGCGGCAGTATACATGTGCGTGGTGCAACGGTAATTCTTCTATCGATGTTCACACATTCACAAGCAGGGATGTATTCCTAATCTCGCAATGAACGTGCCCACTTCTAAAGTCTAGTAGAGCGTTCCCCGATGTCTTAAAGCCGTTTGTGGTTCAATTCGTTCATGAGGCCATCCACATATACAAACACAGAGTCAATTTCAACCGAGAAGATGGATTCTGGATTAGTAACCATTGGAAAGATGTTTTAAACCATTTCGGCTCTTGATTGATTGTATTTTACGGTGACCTTCAGACCGCAGTCCATTCGCTGGCACTGCCTCTTAATACCTTTTACATGACGGTCAATGATATGGTTTATAGCATGTGGTATAATAATAAATAGTATAACATTGTAATGTTTAACATAATTCATAAGGCAATATATAGTATCGTAATTGTACAATGAATATACAGCAGTGCGGTATACAGCAGGGTTGATAGAATAAGACAATGTAATATTACAAGTCTAATATTTTATAGTCTAAAGTATAGGGTAGTGTATAGTAACGCATTGTATAATTGAAAGGTGGAATTTTGTCTATGGATGTGATATTATACCATGTAGTTTAGATTGGAAGGTATAGTATTGTAATGCATAGTAGTCCAGTTTATAGCATGGTTGTGGTGCAGCACAGGACAGAGTGGCGCACCGTGGCTGTATCTTCTTCTCTTTTTAACCCAGCACCCCTCCTCCGTTCCGAAGCTTTTCCCTCATATCAACATGCTAATTCACATGTTGATTCCTCCCACACAGCTTAAAAGACGCTGTCCATGCTTGGCAGCGTTCACTCAAGAGCTGTCTTCTGGACAGTCCTGTTTCTTCACCTGAAGAAGGCTACTTGTATTCTTAGTTCTTTCGGTAAAGTCACGTTGACTTTACCGAAAAAACTAAGAATATGAATTACTGCAGTCACGAAAGCTTTAAATCAAAATTTAAGGCTACTTGTGTTGTGGCCGAAACGTCGTGAGAATTTTATTTGATTATGTTTTATTTCTATTATTTTATTTCCATCCTACGTGACTTTACCGAAAGAACCAAGAAGACGTTTGTGGTTCGTTTTCGTCCAATAATTATAATCTATGCCCAATGTAACTGGTGTGTGGTGTATTATTGATAGTCATACAATGTTTATACATGGGACCATTTCGCATATCCAGTCTCGAACGATTCGGATATAGGAATTTGCAATGCACAGGAACAATTACAGTCCATTTCATTATTGCAGTTCATTTTTTTGGTTGTAAAATAAATGTATATTTTTTCAACCCTACTGTGACAGAACCAATTCAATGCATAACTTTTTTGACAAAATACCTCTTTTTGTGGCAGTAATGTGTCGTTGAGTCGTGATTTAATGAATTCTTGCATGAACAAGCATCATTAATCATGTTCAGAGATGAGCAAACAAAATTCCCTGATGCGTGCGGCCACCCGCACATAATTTCCACACCGTCGAGCTCACAAGTTACTTGTCCCTGCTGAGATATTGACAGCAGCGAGTTAGCAGTACAGCAAGTGGGTTGGTGAAATAATCTGTGCAGCCTTTTGAACGATATCCGCTAATGTGCTATACTCCCCCAGATATGCCACATTCCTTTTTCAAAGAGCAAAACCACACTCATTGTAACGAGAAGTGACCAAACATCCCAATGCAGTACAAATTCGTATTCAGACTCGATGAAACTTTTCCATCGTTATCTGCATAGTCATGATTGTCATTATAATAACATAATCATTATCTTCATATCATGAACATCATTTCCATTAGGGTTCGGTGGTTTTCACACCTGATGATGATTGCTTGTGTTGCAGTCGAAACGTCGTGAGAATTTTATTGTTTTATAATTTGTTTTATTTTATTGTTTCCCTTCTACGTGGTGACTTTACCGAAAGAACAAAGAATATGAATCGCTGCAGTCACGAAAGCTTTAAATCAAAATCATTTCTATTACCTGAATTATTATCACTGTTTTCATTATTATAAGCATTACCATCGCTATCATCACTATCACACTCTTAAATGGCGATCTTTACTTATCACCATTATTGCCAGTATGAATATATTTATCATAATCATAATCATCACCAACATAGTCAGGATTATGGATTATTATTATTATCATCATCATCCTTTTCATCTTCTGCGCGTGTCAGCACTTACTCTAACCCCACTGAGGTTTGGGGTGCTCTGAATTTGTGGCAGAGTTTCCACCACGAATCGGTGGAGTGGAGCTGTTAAAAGGTCCAATGAATGGCGTGGACTGTGGGTCTCTGCACCTACTCTCACTCCCTTCTGTCGCCATACCCTCAAACTCCGATTTACACAATTCTCCCACGAAACGTCCAATTTCGGAGCGTTATGCACGCTTGTATCGCAGTGGCTTTTGGCGTACCATCGAACAAAGACTGGCAACCGCATCGCGCGCTTCCAGACGCGCGTCTGCGGCCGTCTGGAACGCTCTTCCTTCCGATATCAGGAAGCCACTGGAGCTATGCACTTTTAAATAGAGATTTTAAAACGAATTTCTTTAGAACTGCTTTTTGTGTTCAGTTTGTTGGCCTTCCCCCTCACCTCCGATTAGCGCGTGTGGCTACGCACGGTGCGAAAGAAGTTCTACATACATTGTAGCTCCACCATAGGTGGAGTTTGACGTCTATATTTGTGGGGGGGGGGGGGCATGGGTTAGCTTTGTCCCTCACATTAGGAATCGCGGTTGTATATAATTAATCCATTTTTTTATTTGTATTGTAAACTAATAAAGGTATCCAGTTGAGGAGGGGCCCGCAAACTCCGCCCATGAGCTCCGCCTTAGCTCTGCCCACTTTGAGCCTCTCAGCCTGTGCGCAACAAGGAGCGGTGGGTCCTCCCTTGGTTGTAATCTGTTTACCCTAATTCTCCCGCTCGTGCTTATCGGCGTTATGTCTCGAGACGAAGAAGCCAATTTGGATTTTTTTTGCAGAGCAGTGCGCAGCCCTTGACGGCTATTACAGAGCGGCTCACAGATGACAGAGCCCCCTCGGAAAATTCCTTCAAGTGACCTCTGGTGCACACAGTAGGGGGCAGCACTTTCCTACCCGTTCTGCTACAGAGAGAAGAAACGCATTAAACATTGTGGAACGGGGCTGAATTTTTTAGCAAAAGCAGCCATCATTCTGTGAAACCCACCACAGAATGATGGGTTCCACAGCAGGATTGAGCATCTTAATTGGATTGGTATTCTGTCCATTCCTGCCACACTCCCAAGTGGTGAGAAAATAATTTAACCGAGGCTATATTGTTATCTAAATTATCCAGACAGATGGATATTGACCCATAGAAAAGAGTCTGTATGGGTTTTTTTTTGCAAAATGGGCAGCTGCAGCGAGTGCTGTGCAATTCGTTATTTTTATATTTATCTGAAATGCATTCGACAACAACGACGATTATCTGTGGAGTGGGTGACAACCTTGTTTGAGTCCGACTATGAATGGTCACAAAGAGCTGGCTGCTGCGGATTCCTTGAATGCCGAGGGTCGTGTGAATGAAAGCGCCGTGCTTACTTGGGGGGGGGGGGGCTCTGTTTTGCTGAAACTCTGTCTATGCTTAATAATTGGCATTCAGATGGTGAATGGATGCATTTAAAATTCCTATGTATTTACCCTCCGTTTGTTTGCTATGTGTGTTCGTATCGGTCGTACTAATCTGTCCTAACGGTGCGGTTTAAAAAAAAATTCTATTTTCTGTTTGAAGCACCCTCCGTCACAGGCACTGCCAGCGCCCACCCCTTCTCATTCTCCGTATGCTCACTTCATTTATTTACGTCAGAGAAACAATGCGAACACATCCATTGCGACCACTGGCTGGGTGCTGATTCATGAGCATAACGCCATTGAATTGGAGGCAGGGTTGGTGGATCACGCGGAGATGGAACCGCAATGTCTACGGTACCAACCTACAATTGTAGTTAAGGGGTGCTTTTAAGCGGCAGTATAGTAAGGAGGTTAACTGAGGTCTATTGTCTTTTATGAGATTCATATCCCAAGTGTCCATTTTGAGTTGAAAAACAACATTGACACATCAACCTATTAAAATTAACTGTGCAAATGTAACTCTTACACTCCTGAGTGTAACAGTCATATCTGATAATACATGACTTGCTTTTGTCATTCCATATAGAAATTAAATATAAGACTGATAATTGCAAACAGATGTATTTTGATTCTTACATTCTGAAATGGCAATATGAACAAAACATGAAATTTCATATTCAGGCCTCATTTTTCCGATTTTTTCGGAACAATCTGAATATCGGAATTTGTACTGCGCACTGCACTGTTGCACGTCTGTATCTTTTAGGGTTCTCAACTGTAGTTTACTTACTTCACTCTCATGATGTCTCAACACTGCCACGTCCCTTCATTCGTTGCAGTTGCATTTGTATGTTGACGTTGCGTGAGAGTCAATTTGAATTGCATTGCAATGCATTTTTTTTTTGCCCTTTGCATTGCAAGCACGAGCACTAAAGCCATCCTGCTGGCTCTTAAAATGAGGACGTTGCCCAACACTGCAATGCAGCGTTGGGCAAAGCACAGAGTGCAGGGAGTGAGCGAGGCTAGGGAGAGAAAGACAAACAAATCTTTATTGCATAAGCCCCCAAAAAAATTCCAACAGGGACCTATGATGAATTGGCATCGTTCAACAGAGCCGTTAGTGTGATATATTTACCTTACACTGCACAGCAGCCATATGCACTGTGCATCAGTATTCGGTTCTGAACGCTGCTCCGTGGGGAGGTCATCCTCGACTCGGCCCTGTGACCTCCGTTGTCGCTACCTCTCCAAAGCGGTCGCTGGACGGACACCCGTTTTGCTGCGAAGCGATCTTGTGGAGAGAAAAAAATAATCTGTGCCCCGCTTCATTCGCAGCTCGCTGCAGCGTCAAAATGCTTGGGATCCCTGCGCACAAACCGCGATGCACATTTGAGCAACACACCACGCACATTGCACACAAGGGCACGCACCCTCACCAATCTTCCTCGCGAAAAGAGACATTTCGTCTCAACGTACTGCGCGAGACGTTAACACCGCCACAACCACACACGGCGTTGCAACGTCAACTCAGCGTTCACGTTGCAACGCGTGTGTTTGAGCGCGCGCAGAATAAAATGCTTACCGCATATAAAAGGTGGGAACTGAAGGATGCTGGCGAAAGGGACCAGAGGGGGCAAGGGGCAGAAATGTGGTGCGCCCGGAGCCGTGCCGCGACACGCAGTGGCGAGCTGACAGCGTCTCGACTTTCACGGCAGCAGCCCCTGCCGCGCTGATGACAGAAACCTTCTTTGGTGGTGGGGGGGGGGGGGGGCGTCGGAGAAGAACGACCCCCCCCCCCGGCAGACCGAGTCCCCTGCGGAGGAACGGAGGGGCACAGGAACGCGGTACCATCAGCACAGCCGCTGCCCGCGCTCCTAACAGCGCGGCGTTTACTGCGGCGATGTCAGCGGAAAGGTAAAAAGGCATCTCTGCTGTTGCTCGCTCACGCCACTGCTGGCAGAAGAGCCTCCACAAGAAGAAGCTCTTGAGCAGCAGCGGCACAAGCGGCGTCTCCCTAGCCGCATGCGGCTCTTTAAACCACCACATGCGGCTCTATCGAAGGGGCATTACGTAGAACATACTGCTACAGTCGCAAATACTAATGAATGTCTCCCGTGCTGTGCCTTTGGAAGATGTGTGCGTACCCAAGCTTGAGCCAGTGACCTGCGGATTGCAAAATCCAGTGCTTGGACACAAGTGGCCGGATATACATGGCATTGGCTATTGGCGCTTACACTCCCCCATTCTGTTACATTCACTCAAAATAGGCTTGTGTCAGCTATTGTCTCAAGAGCAACACAGTCAGTCTATGGTTAATTTTCATGTTTCTACCTTGCTGAGCTTCCCAAAATGGATTGCAAGGAGGAGCTCGCGGATTTCAAAAGGGGTGCTATAGAGTCTACCTGTCCAGTTATTACATGCCAGAGTGTATAAAGTGGCGGTTGGTTGGCCGGATGAAGGGGCATTAAACAGACCTGGTAAGCTGTCATTTTCGACTCTCTGAGTTATATTCACTAACACAGCTACCGTTGCTCGTTTTCCTCGATGTGACGGTGGCTCTTGCCGAGTTCTCTCCGATCTTACATTGACATGCAAATTTCATCTCTAGCCCCGCCCATTTACCCTTGGGCTACACCCATCTCAAACCTTTATAACATCCTGCCTTAGCAGCTCTTCCGCCAAATATTTTTCCTGCCTCAGCAGCTCTCCCGCTATATGTTTTCACCTGATGACGATTGCTTGTGTTGCGATCGAAACGTCGTGATATTGTTATTATTTTTATTATTATTATTTATATCTACGTGGCTTTACCGAAAGACCCAAAGAATATGAAGACCTGGTAAGGGTCAGAAATTTTAATTACGTACGTTTCCACAATGGTGAGACGCGATACCCAGGCAAGTCAGGGCCATTCTTGGAATAGCTCAGCACGGCTCGTTTTTTTGTCTCATCGTGTGGCTACAGGTTTGCTCGGCACCTCCCTTTCCTCCCCCCTAAGTCCTTACCCTCCCAGAGAGGTTTTGTTGTTGTTGTTACCTACACCATGAGTTCCCTCTTGCCGTCCAAATAATACATGATGTTCGCAATTATCTGCCTTATTCCATAATAATGATTAAAACACAGCACAAAGTGCAGGCCCTTCCTCTATTCCACATTGACACTGTGCCGTCAAAACTGTTTCCAACGTGCAAGCACCCAGGGCACCTGAGCCACGTTGGCGCAGTCAGGCTGCCACGGGAAATCTTGACTGCTGTGCCAATTTGCTTGGTTCCCAGTCCGTGATAATTCACCTCTAAGCAGCCATAAAAATGCGGCACGTGGTACACAAGAAGCTGGGGCACAGCTGACTTTGGCGCTGGCTGGCACCAGCGTGTGTCAGTTTAAGCCACCGTGAAGGAGATTCACGAATGACGCAAATTGGCAGCTGTTTGTGACGTCAAGACTGCAAAATGAGCCCCATATGTTCCTTTGTGTAGCGAGGCCTTTAGACAAGCTGGTGCTTCATGAGCTTAGAATTTGCACGCAGTGACCCGTGGCTGACAAATACAGAAGTGTCGTATATGGGGAGAGGGCCTCACAGGTGAACAAATTTCACGGGTAATTGCAAGATACCTCGTCGGAGACACCCAAACTTTATCAAAGCAGACGGATGAAAGTCATTGACGAGTGAAGGGTAATATGTGATTTTAGTGTTTTTAGAAATATATTTACATGCTCTGTATTTGTGTTCAAACTTATTTTAAAATGATGAATCACGGGGATCATAGCCGTCACATTTTTGCAGATTTTTTTTCACAACGATCAGTTTGAGCAATTAATATATTGCACAACTGCTTATGCTTGCAAATTATGTCAAAGGTTCTTTGATTTATTTTTGCCAATTTTATTCTGGTTGTGCCATTGGCATCATCTCATAAGACAAAGTATCAATTCATAAATTTTTGCAGAGCGGTTGAATGTCACCTGTTAGACAATAGAATGTGGAAGGCAATAAATATTATAATAGAACTGTTTCTGAAATACCGACGCGTGTGATTTTTCATCTATATATTAGGGGGACTATTTTCCCATAAGCCCTGCTACAGAAAAATGCTCTTCACAGTCAAATGGATATTTTAAAATTCCAAAAGCTGGTATTTTGCCAAATGAGTGCACAACCAAATTAAATTTGATTTGTCTTCTACAGTTTTATGTGACCAAACTGAGACCATCCCTTCACCATACTTAGGAACCCAATGCAATCATGAGTGGCTGATAACCTGGGTTTTAAGCCAGAATTTCAGCAGTGCCCACTTATCACTCTTGACTCGTGATCCACTTGACTAACTCAGATGTCACAGAATCATTAATGTCCACTTTATAAGAGATGGCTTGCTAAATCACGGTACTGGGAAGCTGAGGGACTCGAGCGTTCAGCCTGTAAAATCTGGCGGATTCTTCCAACACTCGACTCGTTAGTTTTTAGTAAACAAAATTCACCAGTGTCTCAGCTTCTGATTTATATTCATTTTTTCTTGACATGTCACAATTCACATATTCGAAACATTTTTTTGTCACAATTCGAGGCTGAGATAAAATTCAGGAATGAGTGTTCTCAATTTCACCAGCTTATTTGTTATTGCTTCTCATTTTGTCTGTCACATTTGTAGAATTTGGTTCTGCTCATTGGCCCGAATTTGTTTGTAATACATTTTCACACGCACAATTTCAACACATGTAATATATGCATTACACTCAGTTAAATTGATGAATCAATTATAGCAAATATTTACTGTGAAATCTTCGCAGAATTCCAGCAATGTAAATTTATAGAACAAATCACAACCACGGGAGCACATGACCTATTTTCAGATCACATTCTCTCTTGTTTTGTTCCTAACATATTAGGGGGAAGTATTTTTGGCCGTGGGCTTCATCTTTTTATAGTGGAGCATGTGGTATTCTGGACCTAAATGTGGCTACCGCTAGCTGTGTTGTGCTGAAGTGGCTTGAAAACACAATTGTTAATTGAAAATTGTATAGTTAATTGTTTTAGTTGCTCTTGGCGTCACCTAATCTTCCTTTGTCAGCAGACATGTGTTGGCCTTGACTTTCAAGGCAGGCAGATAAGTTATTTTCTAGACGATTAAGCATGAATGTTTGAAATCGGGCAGGTTCAAGTGCTGCTGAATATCAAATTTCCCTTGCCCAGTCTTGGTAGAAAATGTACATCAATTTCAGCAGACAAGATTTTCTTTGGCATCAGCTGTTGTACCAGCTGTGCGTCCGTCAACAGCCACAGGCAGTGTTTGGATTTTTAGGGCCCCCAGTGGAAACAGTTTCTGAGGGCGGCAGCCCTGCTATTACACGTGTATATATGTGTATGCCGTATGTTTATCAGCCTTCAATCGCATCGGCTGTGCTCACAGATGTATTTTTTTACGATATATATGCTGTAAATCATGGTAGGGCAGATGTGGTTTGTGCTCTCATCGCTGAGCCAGAGTCGAGGGTTCCATTATCAACTCAGCTTGGTAATCTCTGCATCAGGTTACCAATGTGCATTTGTTTGACGTGAATATGAAATACACTGTGATATCAATTTCAAGAGTGAGCTACTTACTGTGTGCCATGCATCGTAGCCCGTGTCACAAATACGGAAACTATACTACCCGTGCATTTTCTTCTTTCAAATGACCACACTCCATACTAAACACGACTGCGCTGCATCCGAAAAGTTTTTTTTTCTCGCTGGCTTCCAGCCTGGATGTCTGCCTACCTGGCGCCCGGCCAGGTGTGTGCGATGACGTCATCACGTCTGCGTGATGACGTCGCTCGCATCCACAGCGATGAGCCGGCTTATTACGCGCTGACGTTAAGCCCCCCCCCCCACCGCGGGGCTATCATACTCGTTGTCATCGTCGTCGATAGCAACGTAGCTGTCAAGCCATACGGTAAACACGTCTTCTTGTACAGGGAAATTGAGTTTACAGGTCCATACGGCGTACAGCCGTTTCAATGCGGGCAAAATAATTTTGTGTCCATTTGTGTGTATTTCTCCCTTGCGATGGGACGTTGTGGGATGAACGTTGGGATTTATAAAGGCACGGGGTGACCAATAGGGTCTTAATTGGTCTGTAATAAGGTAGGGCACTGATAAGGGGTTGACAGGTTTGGTAGCAGTCCCCTGGGTTGCGAAGATGACGTCTATCAGGTTTTGGTGGTGGCTCTTGAGTTGCCTGAGGAGTCCAATTCTGGTTGCGTAGATCTTTGGCCATTGGGGGGGAGGTGCCATGCGCTCCCAGGTGGAAGTGAAATCCGCAGTGCCGGGTTGGCTTCTCTTTTCCTTTCTTTTTTAGCCGGCGATCCACTTCGGCGTCGACACGTTGGGTCCCGGAGTGGATCGCACCCGGGGCCCGGCGGATACCCTTGGCGGTGGTCGGCAGCCTGCTCCTCTCGGTCTTGAAGGCCGATGTTTCGGCGCTTCAGGGAGGACTTGAGGGTGTCCTTGAACCGCTTCCCTCACCCCCTCCCCGTCCACTGTCCCATTGTAGAGCTGGGGGGAAATGATCTGGCGAGGAAGGCGGTTCTCAGGCATGCGGTTGCAGTGGCCAGTCCATTGGAGTTACTACACTTATACAGCATTAGAAAAGCTTGGCTGGTTGGCTGGACGGATCAATGGATTGTGGGACGGTTATGTCAAAAGGGGCGTGCGAGGCTACTCGTTTTTTTTATTAAAATAATTGCAACCATCATCACCACCACTGTATTTTCACCAGCAAGCAAAACAATCTCGTCGCCCTCTCAATTGTTTACACGAAGCATGCTAAATTGAAGCTAGATTTTAAAAAAAAAACAATTTAAATAAAACTTCCACGACATGCTATCAAATTCTAACGCGTATTCCTGGCAGCAAAACACGAACTTGCCACCCACAGGCGCCTCGTGCGGCTCGTCACTGCAGCGGCGTGCACACCCAAGCGAGCCCCGAGAGGGCCTTGGCACGTCGACTGGGACAGGTTTGAGTTCGCTGCACGGATGATCGATCCCGCTTGGCCAGTTGCCCGGCCAATTTACAACGGAGGTCCGCGGTGCCCTTGCGTGAGCCCAGCAGCAGCAGCAGCAGCAAGGGACAAAAGCAAACTTCTAAATCGCAGAGGACGAGTAAGGGATGCAGTTCGAGCACGTTTGAAAATCCTAATTCCCGTAGCCTGCCTCCTCAGAGCTGTGCATTGTAAAGACCATGGAGACGCCGCTGACGGGTGCCCGGGGAAGGAGTGTCGTCATATATCGCAGCCAGTGATAAACCTGCTAAAAGGGTTCGTCATCTTGTTGTCATCCTTGACCCCCGGGCTCTCTTCAACCTCCGCACGCCTCACCCACCCCCCCTGTCGCCCGCCTTCGCGTCGTCGCATTCTGGAGGTGGTGGGTATGGACTGGTGACTTCTCAATACGGACCATACTATTGTCGGGGTTGTTCACAGCGGGTGGATCGGTTTTTCAAACATTTCCCCTCGAATCACATTCGACGGCAACTTGACCACCCCCGCCCGCCCTCCCTCGCCCGTTGGCAGCGCCACGAGTCGTGCCTTTGTTACCCTCTGCCTTGATCACCGACTGCAGCCACGTCCTCCGAGGGCAGCCTCAATCCATGATCTTGAGATGTCGGGTGACAGGCAGCTCCTGCAGAGCCTGGGACTCAAACGCGCACGACGCTTGCCTTGCCCATTGCCCCCCCCCCCCCCCGCCGCCTCCGC